TTTTCGCCGCAGGAAAGCTACAACTATGCCACTTTCCGTTTAATTTCGCTAAAACAGCATGAATACATTACTTTAGCGGCAATACAAATTTTAAGAGGTCTTGAAAAATTATATTTATTAATTTTTTGCGCTCCTAAGGGCCAAATTCACAGTGCGTAGTTAACTAAAAATCGGCAGTTAACTACAGAATTTTGTACTAATACGACAAATATGAAATCTCCTTATCGGTTTTATCAGAGAATTGTTTTATTTATTAGTATGACATAGCTTGTGCTCCCTCTTTTTGAATAGAAGTTACACTGTGCCACAATTTTATGACAATTCAAACCAGTTCAGACTTTGCTAATATTTTTTTTTATTCAGTAATAAAACACTCGATGGATTTTCAAAAGTTAGCTCGTATTTTTGTTTTACGGCGTAGAACATTTTAACCCATTAGCTTCCGCCTGAAAAGGTCCTTTTGACCCTTACTTCCAGCAACCCCGCAAAAAGTAAATTTGGAAGTTCGTTAGAGGATTGATATATTCTAAAAAATTATTCTTCGGAAAATGTTACTAGCGGTCTTCTCAGGTAAAAACTTCATTCCACCAACGTGGAAGTCTCTAAAAAATTAAAATAAAAATCAGCAAAAAAAAAACTGGGATTTTTTCCACAAAAAATTTTAAAATTAAATTTGGCTGTTAATTCTTCTTGGCATAGATTTTTTGTGTTAAATTTATAAAGCCTTAGGTGGAGTTTTTACCTGAGGTGACCCCTAGTAAAATTTTCCGAAGAATAATTTTCTAGAATATATTAATCCTCTTACGACCTTCCAAATTTCCTTTTTGGGGGTTTCTTGAAGTAAAGGTCAAACCGACCCCTTTAGGCAGGAACTAATGGGTTAAAATGTTGTCTTAACCTTTAATTTCGCTCAGATATCAATTTTAATTTTTTCTTCTACCTTTTTGAAAACTACTTAGGCCGGGGGGACATTAAAACTTTAGTAGGCCATAAAATGTTAATAAAGTCCGGGCTGGTTTCGACTGTCGCAGAGTCTTATTAATTAAAAATACTTGTATAAAAAAATGTATAACCTCACATCTTCACATGTTAAATATTTTTCATGCTGTAACCCGCTGGAAAGTAAGCTAACTAAATTCGAACTCCATTGTTCACTTTTGCTTATGCGGTTAAGACCCATTTCTATTGCTATTTGCCTTGCCATTTTAGCAAATAATCTAGTCCAGATTCCATGCTTTTCGGCTTTTTTCGTTAATGTTACTGGCGTTTCCTCCACCGATCGTTGGCGCTTAGCGAACTCCGATATTCCAACGAATGTCCTCTTTCACCTCCACTAGGCGAGGTGTTTTGTTGGTAACGTTTCAAAGTGCAGGTTTCGTTAGGCTGGCGTAGTATATCCGTGCTTAAGTTCGTCTCTTGGCTTGAGTACAAACGAGTACGACACTTACCTTGCTTTATCCCATACCCATAGCTCTTTGATGGTTCGGTCTCGCTTATTGAGACACTCAACGGCATTCAGCGAACTCACATTGAGCTTGATAATAATTTTTCCAAATTGACGCCTCCAACTCAGAGTCTTCGAGGTGACCTGACCTCTTTTGGTTTTAGTCATTGTGTCCAAGTCCCCCTTTTAACCAGCAACCCGAAGCTTTTAGCGATGGAGCAAATGTACTGTACATAAAGTAAAACTGAGCTGACCACCCTTCTGTATAGAATTATTCTACTATGTTTAGGGTCACCAGCTTGACGAAGACCCCGCAGTTTGGTATTTTGCCTTCTTAGCGCTGCGTTTATCGTGTTAGTATAGCCATTCTAGCTAACTGATCGGCTTTTCCTCGACTCCCTTGTTGCCCTGGTACCCATATAGATTGGAAAGCATTGTACTCAATAACCTTTAGGATCTCCAACAGAATAATTAAACAATGTAGACAGTACGTTATGCGTCTTGCTGGTAGGCAAAGCCTTGCGAAACAGGTGACCCTGTTCTGGAAATGGTTCTTGTGCCTATTACATCGCAAAATGAACTTAAGTTATCATCAAACTGGACAAGACAGAGCTATGAGCATTTACGCTGCAAAACTAGGCCTGGAAAACAAAAAGATCCACGTGGAATCGCAGCGGCACAAAGGCACCGATCAATAGCATTCAATCTTTCCTAACCTAACACCCTGGTGGTGGCAAAAACAAGTTGAAAGAGATAAGAGATTTGTTACAAAAGGTCTCAGAGGTTCAATTTAATTAAATGTAATATTCATAACATAAACTGTATCTACATACATACATATTTACATACATCACACAATATTCTCATTAAGTGGTTAAGTTAATAAACCTTGAATATGACATCCCAGAATGGCTATAAATTAATAAAAAAATATCAATGAACCAGTGATTTAATCAGTTGCAATTCATTTAATCAAGCGATTTATTTACTCTTTAAATAGACATAAATGAAAACAAAGTATTTGCATATATAACTTCACACTCCGTACATTTCTGCATAAGTGAATAAAATACATACATACTCGATTAATGTACAGTGTTGCCAACCATGGTATTTTCCTACCAAAACTGGTAGGGTTTTTTCCATTTGCTACGTTGGTAGGCTAGATTGGAGTTTGATAGCTTCCGCGACAATAATAGTTATTTGCGAAAAATATAAATATTTCGCCGGTGGAGTTCACCATTGTCCACCTGACAGAGACTTCATTGTAAGACTTGAGGAATATCACCAAAACTAACCTATTGGTTTTTAATGTGGTAGTAAGACCCGTTTTCACATATGCGGCACTGGCCTAGTAACCAAAAGCTACGCAAAAAAGGCGGGTTCCACTTTTAGCAAGCTGCACCGACTGGTCCGCGTGGCCAATACAGGAGCTATGGGCACTTGTCCAACGGATGCCCTTGGTGTCATTACAGGTATTCCTCCTTTGTCTATTCTGTTTGAAAAAGAGGTCTGCTGGATCGCACTACGACTGCCCAATATGATCAGCAAGCAAATTTGGGTTCTTAGGGGTCATTTGATGGTTTTAAAGCCATTACTGGATAATCCCGCGCTATCCTTCAACAAACCCTACAAGGTTAGAATTCCAGAAAGGGACTGCTGTGATGTGATAATAACTATTATTGACGAAAGGTCCCAAGCATGGTATATATAATGACGGATTAAAGATGGATGACGAGAGTACTGGGGCAGGCGTATTTGGACCAAAACTTTTGGTTAAGTCTGTTTTATACGAGCTGTGTTCTAGTTTTTCTAAATGTAAAGTTATCTACGTTTTTAATAAACCTGACATTAAAACAAAATATTAAAAATTTATGCAACAATTTATATAAAATTTTGGTAGGCTTTGGTTGACTTTGGTACGAAAAAAAATTTGCCCGTGGCAACACTGTTCATGTATAACATTACACGTCTGTAAATGCATGAATATAGGAAAAACAAAAATAAAAATTGAAATTAATTCATCAATTGCGGAAACCACCAGGCGGGTCAGTACAGAGCAATTGATTGCGTGGCGTGGCGTTGAGCATTTGCCACTCATACAATTAAAATGTGCGTGCATTCGTTCCCCTCTACTCCACAAATAGCTATGGTACATAGGCTGCTATCCAATTGCAGACAACTCAATTAATATTTCACCATCTGTTCTTTGTTCTGCAATTCGCATGCATTTTTTTTTTTGTGTTCATTTCGTGCCGCCACAGATGACTGTTATTGATAATTTTAACGAGTTTGGCGGTCATGTTGCCATTAAACACCAACTGTGGGGTTGTTATTCTTTTGCAAATATTTGCGCATTTATGCAGTTATTCATTGGTGCAACACATTGATGGAAGTGCAGCAAAAAGTCATGCCGCCACTCAAATAATTTACGCTTTATGTGGATTTGTGGAAAGATTTATGTGAAGTTGCAAAAAAAAAGTGTTGTTAAGTGAAATGCTTTTGAACGAGTGCAAGCTTTTATACATGGATACATATGTATGTACTTATACATTAGATCGCACTACCTTACAAGCAAAAAAAAAAATAGTTCGGTGTACAGCCCTGGCATTTTTGAAAGGCAATTTCGAAAAAAAAACATTTTGTTTGGTCGAGCTTGGCCAAGAATTTTTTTTTAATAATTCTACTGGAATACTCAAAATAATTCCACAGAAAAAGTGTAATTAAATGTTTTGGTAGCTTTAATTTACTGACATTGGGGTGGTACGTTAGGGGCATAAGAACTGATGGTTAAGTACTAGAATGGGATATTTGAGGTCAGTAGTCTTTGTAACAAAAATAAAATGCGTTCTCGAGACAAAAACATCGCTATATCATACATTAAGACCCGACTGTAAATGCAAAAAGGCCAAGAGTTTTTTTTCGAAACTGCCTTTTAGAAATACTTTACATTCAGGTACGGTCTAACGTTTGTACATTAGTGTGCGCCTTATTAGTACGGAGAAAATTTGTTTGTAAACTACCGAGCAAGCCTCCCGCTAGCTAGGTTCGTTTGAGGCACGCCTCCACATTAAGCGATTTTGAAAATTTTTCGCAGACCACATGTTTATGACCAAATGAACCCATTGAGAGGGCGCCTTGGTTCGGCGGGTCAAAGTTGAAAAATAAGGCGCACTCTTATGTGGTACATATACATATACATATATATGTATGTTTACGATGCTTCTGTATGTGATAACGAACTGATGTTGCTGAAGCATACATAAATATGTACATACGCCATAAATATGTCAGTTTTGACATGTTGTGTCTGCAGCACATGCAGCACAAATTAATATGGATCAAGGTTTGATGCTGCTGATTATGTTGTAAAACAATATAATTATGTGTGCAAAAATATGCGATGCATTTATTTAATTTATTAGCGTTAAAAAATAGCTCAAGAGTATGTCGATTGATATTTATGCAATCGGTAATACTAATCTACTTTATTATTATTATTAAATTCTCAACTTAAATACTTAATTTAATTAATTTTTTTTCCATCTTGTTACAGTTAACTTGATCTCCTTTCAATAACGTCCACCATGCACGAACTCAATATGAAATCCAAGTATGAGAATATGAAAATCATTTACAATCGCAGCAAATTCGGCTGGTATTGGGCGCCACTTTTCGTAGCATTTTGGTTTCTACTCTTCTATCTCACCGTCATACCCAGCTACCACAGCTATCCGGATCTACTGACAATTGAAGATGAAATTACACAACCGGGCCGCTTTATAGGCGAACGTGCTGAGAGTATGCTGCTGCGGCTCACCAAAATCGGTCCCAAAGTGGTGGGGAGCGCTGCCAACGAACAAACAGCTGTACATTTTCTACTCACAGAAATCAGTAAGATCGTACAGGAGTCACGCACAGATCTCTACGATATACAGCAGGATGTGCAGATTGCCTCGGGCAATTATGTGCTGTGGGAAATGGTGAATGCCTATCAGAGCATACAGAATGTGGTGGTGAAGTTGACGCCACGTGGCACAAATAGCACGGCAAGTTTGCTGATCAACAGCCATTATGATTCGGTGCCGGGGAGTTCGGGCGCTGGAGACTCGGGAACAATGATTGTCATAATGTTGGAAACTTTGCGTGTGATTTCGAAGTACGAGACACCGCTGCAGCATTCGATTGTGTTTTTATTCAATGGCGCCGAGGAGAATCCTTTGCAAGGATCACATGCCTTCATAACTCAGCACAAATGGGCAAGCAATGTCAAGTGAGAGCACTCGAATGTGGGTAGAAGTGAAGTTGTAATAAATTTTGAATTCTACACTTTGTAGGGCTCTCATCAACTTGGACTCAGCAGGTTCGGGTGGTCGCGAAATTTTGTTTCAGTCCGGTCCTGACCACCCTTGGTTGATGCGATATTACGGTCAACATATCTTGCATCCTTATGCGTCAAGCATTGCCGAAGAATTATTCCAAAATGGATTTGTGCCTTCGGAGACAGACTTCAGGATATTTAGAGACTTTGGAGAAATACCGGGTGAGAAGAGAATTTTCTGTGGTAAAAAAAAAATGAAGAAAGTTATTTTTAAAAATATTCTTAAGAGTCCTAAAACCAAAATATTTTTTTTTTAGAAAAACTCTGGGAATATCAAATTATTAGACAGAAATAAGGAGTATACCGTTAATGTGCCTCGAATAATATCCCAGAATAATATTTGATATAATTAAAGAAGTGGGCGAGGACGATCTTGTGGGGGAGTTTACCAGTCCACTACTCAACTTTGGGTTAGTGAAGGCTAATTTGGGAGAACCCATAGAATCCTGGCTGGGCTCTGGGGTTTTCTTAAGAGACATGTAATTTTACTGGAAATAAAAGGCGTTCGAAAGGGTCATACCTAAGAGGTTGATTTTCTATAAGTACCTGCCCGGAAAAGAAAAAAAAGACCATATTTCAAAAAATCTAAATTCAAAGGTATAGAACTGTATCTCCCACAAAGAGTGAACTAGCAGGTGAACACAGGTAAACATTTTCTTAGATCACTTTTCAAGCGATCTCCTCTTCCTCAGTTAGATCGAAACTTGTGAAGGACATTAGGAGATAGTTGGCCTTAATTTCTGGTAAATTTTAAATTACCCTTGCCTACAAACAGTCGGCCGTCTCCACAGGGTACTGGCCCTTTGGATTACATTCCGAAAGGATAAGCATTTTTGCACCAGCTTCTGCCGCAGATGAAAGTTTTCAAGCTAAAAGGGACGCTTGAATACATTCTCTGCGAGTGCCCGGCCCTTGAGTGAGGTTAAAGACACTTGGCCAACCATTCTTGCAGACATTTCAGAATGCAGTCCCCTATCTCTATATGATATTTATCAAAACCGCTATTTTACTCCCACAATCTCATTTTTGAATCTCTTTTTTGTTGGAATTGTAAAATATTTACTCCACAGTTATTGCTAATCATGCTATCTTAACTCTACTACTTCATTCCGCAGGCTTAGATATGGCACACACTGTCAACGGCTACGTCTATCACACCAAGTATGATCGCTTCAATCTGATACCACGCAGAACGTATCAGCTCACCGGCGATAATGTATTAGCGCTCACTAAAGCTTTGTGTAATGCGGCAGAAATGGAAGATCCAGCGGTAAGCTTAGCTATTTACTATGAACTTCAAAAAATTTACCCATACTTTTTTGTAGAAATATGCTGAGGGTCATACAATTTTCTATGATGTGCTTGGTTGGTTTATAGTCTACTACCCGGAAGAAACTGGCATTGTGATAAATGTTTTGGTTTGCGTCATAGCCATTATCACTATATTGGCCTATATTTGGAATATGGCACACCAGACGGGCATGTTTAGGCGTCGCGTTTTTATCAAATTCGGCATCTTATTGGGTGTCCAATTCGCCGCTGTGATTCTGGCCATATTGCTGACTATCACAATTGCGATATTCATGGATACTGTTGGCCTTTCAATGTCGTGGTTCTCCCAGCAATGGATGACTTTTGGTTTGTACTTCTGTCCGATGTTCTTTATGATGGGCTTGCTGCCGGCGGTCTACTTGAGTCGCACAAAGGAGGTGGGTGGCATGGATGAAGACATACAAAATATGTGAATGTATTTTTCCAATCTTTTCTTCATAGCATGGATTACCGCTGGGCTATGCTATTCAGCTGATTATGCACGCGCACTGCTTGATTTTGACTATGGTTTGCATTATACTGATCTCATNTCTCTGCGAGTGCCCGGCCCTTGAGTGAGGTTAAAGACACTTGGCCAACCATTCTTGCAGACATTTCAGAATGCAGTCCCCTATCTCTATATGATATTTATCAAAACCGCTATTTTACTCCCACAATCTCATTTTTGAATCTCTTTTTTGTTGGAATTGTAAAATATTTACTCCACAGTTATTGCTAATCATGCTATCTTAACTCTACTACTTCATTCCGCAGGCTTAGATATGGCACACACTGTCAACGGCTACGTCTATCACACCAAGTATGATCGCTTCAATCTGATACCACGCAGAACGTATCAGCTCACCGGCGATAATGTATTAGCGCTCACTAAAGCTTTGTGTAATGCGGCAGAAATGGAAGATCCAGCGGTAAGCTTAGCTATTTACTATGAACTTCAAAAAATTTACCCATACTTTTTTGTAGAAATATGCTGAGGGTCATACAATTTTCTATGATGTGCTTGGTTGGTTTATAGTCTACTACCCGGAAGAAACTGGCATTGTGATAAATGTTTTGGTTTGCGTCATAGCCATTATCACTATATTGGCCTATATTTGGAATATGGCACACCAGACGGGCATGTTTAGGCGTCGCGTTTTTATCAAATTCGGCATCTTATTGGGTGTCCAATTCGCCGCTGTGATTCTGGCCATATTGCTGACTATCACAATTGCGATATTCATGGATACTGTTGGCCTTTCAATGTCGTGGTTCTCCCAGCAATGGATGACTTTTGGTTTGTACTTCTGTCCGATGTTCTTTATGATGGGCTTGCTGCCGGCGGTCTACTTGAGTCGCACAAAGGAGGTGGGTGGCATGGATGAAGACATACAAAATATGTGAATGTATTTTTCCAATCTTTTCTTCATAGCATGGATTACCGCTGGGCTATGCTATTCAGCTGATTATGCACGCGCACTGCTTGATTTTGACTATGGTTTGCATTATACTGATCTCATTTAATATACGCTCGGCATTTGCGTTGATGCTTTGCATTGGTTTCTACGTACTATCGGTGATCTTGAATATGGCCACATGCTTCCAAAAGACTAGTAAGTCGCCTAATTTTTGTGTTAGCAGAATTGTACTTTAAGCGCCCTGCTTCTCCCACAGCGTTCCTCTGGCTAATACCGCACATCATCTGCCAGCTGATGCCTTTCCTCTTCTACAGCTACTGCTGCTATGCTTTCTTTGTTACTTTTGTGCCGATGCAGGGTCGCGAAGGTAGTAGCAATCCTGAGCTTTTTATCGGTGGCTTTACAGCGCTACTCTGTCTGCTGTTGGCACCCTTTTTGGTACCACTTTTGTGCCTCTTCCGCAAGTCGAAGACCATCATTTCCATCTTCGGCGTCATTTGCTTGGTATTCATCATACTAGCTGCCACACCGGTTGGCTTTCCATATGCCGAACGTGAAGCGCCACAGCGTTTCTATGTTGCGGTAAGTAGAATTTATAAACCAAAAAATACTAAGAGATAATAACTATTCCCATTTTGCAGCACACAACACGCACCTTCCACAACGGCGATGCTGCGATGTCGGTTCGCTTCAACGATTCTGGCTACTACGTTGTGCCGGTCGATCGTCGTCCGCATTCAATAGACTACTTGTTTGAGAACATAAATGCGAGCAAATCCAGTCAACTGGGTATTGACTGTGATACAGAGGTGATGTGCGGCTATCCGATTTACAGTACGCGCTGGTTGGGCTATCGGTATGCTCTGAAAAGTTATTCATGATCGAATGAGTGCGTCTAATAAATATTTCTCTTTAACTAGTGATCAAAGCTTTTGGGTCGATGGTCCTGCACCCAAGGCTGGCAGCTGGCCGCGTTTGAGAATTCTGAGCAAAGAACGCATCTCATTTACGAATCTGATTATTAGCCTGGAGGTGGCAGGTCCGGATCACATGAGTGTTTTCATACAACCCATGAATGATACAAAACTGGTGGACTGGTCATTCGATCGTACGCCAATTCAGGAGAACTTTAAGACGCCATACTTTATATATCTTTCATATGCTTTGGATCCGGCGCCTTTTCGGTTTCATTTGGAATTCGAGGTAATTAATGAAAAGTTACTTAATTCTATATTTTGGATCGAATTTCAGTCATCTGTTGACAAATTAGGTTTGGAGATAAACCCCTTTTCGGGACTCGCTTTAATGAACTTTTATGTACTATTGGCTTTACCATTTTGATCCTATAGATTGGTTTAGTTTTTGCCCGAGAAGCCTAATTTTTTTGAGAATTTCCAATTTTTCTTTGGTTTAAATGGAGGTCAGAGGGTTTTGGTTCTCCAGTTGTCTTCTTGACCTGAGTTAGAGCGATTATCTGACCTAAGAGAAGACAAACTCGAAGATGAAACTATTTTAAGGCCGCTTTTGTTGCTGTAGCCCGACTCCTAATTACCTCATAGATCACGTTGAAAGCTTCAAAGAGTTAAAAGGCTAAACTTCAAAGCTCAATACTACAAGTATTATTATAATCAATGACCATTTATTGGAGCTTGAAATAATGACTTACCATTTTAATTTTG